CTCGCTGAAACCGCTATAAACGCAGTTAACAACCCAATGAATGTTCGAGTTGCTTGCCGTTCCCAAGAAAACCCTATATAAATGGAACTGGTCGCCGACCCCACGCCCGGGGCGTGGGCCAGGATCACAGCACAGCCTCGCAACCAGCCACAAGCTGGTGCCGGCTGGCGAGCTTTCTGAGCCTATTAAGCTGATTTCTATTTAAAAATGTCCTAATCGTGAAGCATTCTAAATTTAACATACCCTTTCATGATTTTAGGCCTCTAGAGGCCATGCCAAAACACCATTGTAGTGCCTGTGCACTACAACGAAAGCCGAGCTCACCAGAGTAATAGAGCTCTTCGGAAAGCTGTTGAGCTTCCAGAGATGAGGAGTGCTGTAGCCGTATTTGAGCAGGAGATGAAGTGGGCATAGTTGCTGAGCCTATCCACAACGACGTAGATGCTATCGCAGCCAAACACCATTGTAGTGCCTGTGCACTACAACGAAAGCCGAGCTCACCAGAGTAATAGAGCTCTTCGGAAAGCTGTTGAGCTTCCAGAGATGAGGAGTGCTGTAGCCGTATTTGAGCAGGAGATGAAGTGGGCATAGTTGCTGAGCCTATCCACAACGACGTAGATGCTATCGCAGCCTCTAACTGGTGCCCAACCCACTACGAAATCCATTAAGATATCTGTCCTGATCCGTTCGGGAACAGAAGAGATTGCAAGCAGCCGGGGATGAAAATTTTCCACGGTCTTCCTTGCTCTTTTTGCGGAGAGGCGAGGGCATCCTCCTCACCTCGGGAGGGCACACTGGGCAATAAAAGGACGTAGCCACCCGCTCCAGTGTTGTGTTGACCACACCACGGCCCGCTAAAGGATGATTGTGCATTTCGCGCAAAACGTCCTTGCGACGCAGAGCAAGAGAGTATAATCGTCGGAGTCTACCCCTGGTCTGGTACCACAAGAGATCCCCTCTTATGCTGTAGTGCTGAACCTGTCGCCCCGTGTTGGGCTTCGCAGGAACAGCAGCTTCGGGAGCGTCTAAGGAGTAAGAAGAACGCAATTTAGAAAGGAAATGGGACTCATCACAGGCAAGTGCAATTGAAGGACACAGTGCCTGACGGGCTGAGCGTCGGGAGAGCGCGTCAGCTACCACGTTGGTTATTTAATTGATAGACATGACTGTGAAGTCGCACCGCGTGGGCCAGGTGCGTCAGGGATGGTTGATCCCTTTAAAAGGTGAAGACCACGCTGCCTCATTAATAATGCCGGCAACGTCTTTGCTCCCAACCAGACCAAGAACTCCGTCTCGAATATTGAATGCTTATGCTCTCTTGGCGCATAACATTATTGTCAGCCCCAATTATTATGCCAGTCATTTGTCTCAGACCAACGGGCGAAGCACCTAAAGTCGTTCAAATTAGGTGCATAATAATATAAATAAAACAGAATGTTGAGATGATATCATGACTGGCGTTCAGATGATAGCTAGCGCAGGGGTGGGTGTGTCACCCGAGCCTGTACTGACACCGTCTCCGCACGCCCAGCAAACAGGGAACCAAGTAGCTCAGCTCCTTTAATATTAGTAAAACTATATCTCCAATAGGTCTTTAATAAAGCAAAAATAAATAATAGAAAATAAAGGAGAAATCTACATTCGGCTATAGGGCTAATTGGCGAGGTGTTGGTGTACGACATCGTGAAGCTATCTAGCCGGACCCAGGGCACGACAGAGACAGCGAGAGTAGCAGGGGCTTACTTGGTGTTTTGTCGAGTAGTTAGCATCCTGAGATAGCGCAATATATCAGCCGCTGTGTCACTGACATGGATTGTTAGGAGTAAAACAAAAATTGTTCAAAGCGACGAGCGCAAGCAGTGGAGACGATCCCAAGTGTATGATGAAGGTCCTAAAGGCTCCGTCTCAGCTATATCCAAGTAATTCGTTTAGCCTGTTTGAACCACCCCGATAGATAGGCGGCAATAGCAACCAATTTAGGGGTGAAGCTGATGTAGTGTATTGCGAGCGTGAGGAACTTCAGAGCGATCGAGGAACGGTGTACGGGTAGCTCCCACATCAGAATGGCCTCTAACTTCGTTGGCTCCGGTTTGACTCCCTCTTCAGAGGGGCTAAGTCCTAGGAAGCTAATCATCTGCATGGAAATAAAAGAAGGTTTCGTGCTCCCAGGAGCCAGAGTGCCTCTTATAGCAGTTGCAGGCCACGCCGGAGTAGGTGCTGCAGGGGCTCATGCACATTCCTGGTGGATATCAGCTAGCCGTCCAAGTATATAACAGCAGGCGTATCTGTGGTTGGCCCCACGAAACTGTAACTGACTTGTCGCTGCAATTCTGACGGGGTAATCATGAAGCCAATAGGCGTATACGCGCGCTATAGGCTTGCGAGTGCAGGTATAAAGCGCAGTCTTGCGCTTGCAATCGGGGTGTATTGAGATCTGCAGAAGTGAATCGGTGCTGTCGTCTGACGACTCTCACAACGGAGAGATAGCAGATCCTTTTCGCAGCCTGTGTCAAGGAGCGCTAGCAACCCATAAGCATTATTTCAAGCCCGCACGAGCGCAGAGTTAGCCCGAGGAGGGTCTGCTGCTGCGGTTGTTTCTTCAGTGCGCCGCAGACTGCGTAGGGGCCACGGCGGTTTGGCAGTAGCTTTGCCTAATCCCCTTGCAGCGCTGCTCGAAGTGTTGTTCACCAGCTTCTCTCTTCATAAGTTTGCAATCAATGATTCTGCGGCCTTGCTTATTGCAAAGGTAGTCAATGCTCCGTTCTGTGGATTGTCTTTTTTTATCTTCTTTGGGGCATTAGCAGCTACAATATATATCCTTAAGCTGAATATCCGGGTCAACACTAAACTCGTTCCCTTCCTTCTCATCTAAGGTGAAGGTAATGATAGTTGTCTCTCCTTTATACCTATGTACTCCTTCATCTCAATAAAGTCAGCCTCTTCACCCCTTAATGTTCCCCCTTCACGGCCCAGCAGGTTGTCTCCCTGCGAAGGGCAGCTCTGCAATGCACTATATTAATATAGGAGTAGGACTTGTACTTCCGGATGCAGCGCTCTATCGATAGCTTCGTTTGTTTACGTTTTATCAATTCTCTGCTGCTTGCTCCCTTAGCGCCCTGAGGATAACCCTAAATCGCAATGCATAACGGGGGGCTTCCATACCCCTGTTGTTCTTAGGAGATGAGGCACCATTTCTTAGATATAACCACATCGTTGTGAGCCCCCTTCTACTACAGAAATGCTAATAGCTGCTGCATATTTTTGCGGGTACTGGCGAGAAGGAAAGACGACTTCAAAGAAGAAAAGAGTTCCTCCACTGCCCCCACACATTGCGCCACCCAACATATCTGCATAATCGGCAAAGACAGAAGGAGATATTTTTTATAATATGTTTTTGCTTTAAAGACACTCTACCCTATATGAGATTCTGAGCGGGTGTAGGCTCCCCAGTGCTTATCCCCAGAGGGCAAGAAGGCCTGATGAAGGTCTTGATGCAAAGAGAGAAAGGGGTTCAGGTTTTCGAAGAACTTACAGGGGAGTTTTAAGATATTGTTTTTGAGTTTATCAAGAAGCAAGAGTTCTAACAAATGCTGCTATGCAGCAGGCGGCCCCGCTTTAGGCGTGGAGTGCTGTGCTAGCTCTTGACCCTTAGAGCCAAGTGGTGCTATCGACTGAAAGCCGAGACCCCTGTTCTTTCTTAGTGCAGTAGTGCGTTGCAATATAAACAAAAGACATAAGGCAAGAATACCTCAAAGGAAGCAGATATCTTCCTCTTCTTTGTGTCTCCGTACGCTCTGGGTGCAGCAGCCCACCGACCCCGAGCTGGAGAAGAGGATGTGGCTTGAGATGAGGTGCAGCACTCCTCTTTGTAAATAACACTGCAAGGCCCCTTTGCATGCATGCAGAACAAGCCGTCCCTTTTGCTGTCTCCATCAATATTTTAGACTATCGTTGCTGCAATGCTGTTGCATGCGGGCTGTCTCCTGAGACGTATGCGCATGAGCCAGCCTTTGACTGACCCAGGTAATAAAAAGGAATAAATTATTTTCTTTATTTTTATTTCACTTAGAATTAATCTAAAAAATTAATCATTAATTTTTTTGCTGCTCACTGTTTGTCTTTGTTTTGCAAGCTGCTTAATATCAGCATTCAAGCATGCGTTAAAAAATACAAACTGAGGACATAATATTTAGAGTGTACAAAGCAAAGAAAAAGCCTCTTAGTTGCACAGTCTGAGTGTCTCTGTACCCTCTCCAGCATTAACAGGAGCAGCAGCATATAGCAATAAGGAGACAGAAGGCAACACCCTATAAAAGGCGCTCTCTCCTGCTAGTGGTAGAGGTGGGGGAGAGCCCCTTAATGGGGGTGCTGTCCTTTACTGCTGCTGCTGCTGCTGCTGCTGCTGTTGCTGTTGCTGTTGCTGTTGCTGCTGCTGCTGCAGCTCCAAAGCTATACTGCAGCTCTTTGTTATTCTCTCCCCTCTTCGCCGCCTCAAGAAGAGGAGTACAACAAATATGTTTTATTTTAGACATCAGTACAACAGAAATAACTTTAAAACAAAGACAGAAACACTCAACAACTTATTACACACATCCCCTACTCAAGGGTACAGGGGGGCCCCCAGGGGGCCTCATGGGGGCCCCCCTTGGGGGGCCCCCTGTAGGGGTAGGGCCTCACGAGCCCTTGGTCTCAGTTGTTTCTTCTTACATTTACTTGCATTTTCTCATGTCTTTATATATTTTTAATTATAAAAAATAACAAAGGAGACCCCAGCGCCGCTGTAGAGGCGCAGATAATCTGCTCAGGTGGGGGGCCCCTGCTGCTGCTGCTGCAGCAGCAGACAGAGGTGAGGGGCCCCAGTGCAGCAAACATATTATTTCTGGGGGCCCCTCCTCTTGTCTTTCTATAAACATTATGCTGACTTTGCTTCAGCGTCTAGGGCTCCCGTTGCGCCGGCTGCAGCACCGCCTCCTGCTGCTGCCGCTGCTGCTGCAGCTGCTGCTGCTGCCGCGCAACTGCTGCTGCGTGCAAGTAAAGGCTCACTTCAGCAGAGACACCCCACAGATTCATTCACTTGGGGGCCTCATAGCTCTTTTTCGGGGCCCCCGTGGGGCCCCCTGTTCGAGGACCCCCCTGTGTACTGTATGTACACCTGGGGTGCAGCGGCACCTTCAGCTTGCAGCAGCAGCAGCAGCAGACAGCTGCAGCAACAACGCGAGCGAAGCAGCAGCACTCAAACCTGGCGCTGTAGCAGCAGCTGCTGCTGCTGCAGCTCGTGCTGCTCCTCCAGCCTTCTCCGTAGGGCCTTCCCCCCTCAGGGATCTCCTTGGGTTCGCATGGACTTACAAACAGCAGCAGCAGCAACAGCAGCAGCAACAGCAGCAGCAGCAGCAGCAGCAGCAGAGCGAAGGGAGTTTTATTAGGAGGTTTTTGTCTCGCATTGGCGTTTTGAGCTCTGAGAGAAAGGAGTCCGTTGAAAACCCTAAACCCTCGGCCTCTGTCTCGCATTGGCGTTTTGAGCTCTGAGAGAAAGGAGTCCGTTGAAAACCCTAAACCCTCGGCCTCTAAAACCCTAAACCCTAAACCCTAAACCCTAAACCCTAAACCCTAAGCTCATTTTTGTGTTGTTTATCTTTGCGCATTTGCTTGCATGCAGCCTGCAGCTCGACTGGCATGTGCTGGGGGTCCCTGTATTTGCAGTGGTGGACTCAGCCGGGAACCCCTTCATTTATTCAGAGCAGCAAATCTTTCTCCCCAGCAGCAGCAGCAGCAGCAGCAGCAGCAAAGGGTTGCTGCGGTTCTTTTGGAGGTGGAGGGAGAGGCGAACCCGCTCTGTTCAGGTGCAGAAGGGGCTTCTCTTCCTTGATGCTGCAGATGCTAATGAATACCTGCAGCAAATACTCAAATCAGCGCGTCAGTGCTGCTGCTGCTGCTGTTGCTGCTGCTGCTGCTGTGTCTTCTGTTGTAGTCCTGCTGCTGCAGCTGCTGCTGTTGCTGTTGGTGTTGCGTTGCTGTCCGTGGATACTTAGCTGTAGCGCCTTCTGCTCCTGCTTCTGCATCTGCTTCTGCTTTGCTGCTGCTGTTGCTGTTGCTTTTGCTGGTGCTGCTGCTGCTGCTGCTGCAGCTCAAGTAGATGCTCATCTTGCAGCTTTTTCACTCGCTCGCGTTTGGCCTGAACTGCGGCGATATCTCAAACTCCGCTCCCCCACACCCAAACCCTCAGGGGCCCCTGTGGGGCCCCCTGGGGGGGCCCCTGAGGGGGCCCCTGAGGGGGCCCCTGGGGGGCCTCCGGCTATGGAGGGTGATGGGTGGGGATTAGAGGGAGTTGGAGAAGATGATGAAGATGAGGTGGGGGCCCCTGGGGGCCCCCCTCTCTTTCAGTGGGTCTTTGTACCCTCAAAAGAAGCGGTAGGAATACTCTATGAGTATATGCTGCTGCCGCTGCTGCTGGTGCTGCTGCAGTTGCAGTTTGCTGCTGAGTTTGCTGGTGTTTTCTGCTGCGTTTGGTGCTGCAGTTGGCTTCTGCGTTTGGTGCTGCAGTTCGCATGCGTTTGCTGCTGCAGTTTGCATGCGTTTAGGTGCTGGCAGCACGGAGATTGAAGGCCTGCTGCGGAGTGCCGCTCTTTTGCTGCTGGCAGCTGCGAGTAGAAAGACACGGGAAGAGAGTGATGCCTCTCTTCTTTAGTTTGCAAGACCTTAACAAGACCTACGGATCAGCCTGCAGCAGCAGCAGCAGCAGCAGCAGCAGCAGCAGCAACAGCAGCAGCGGGGAAGAGGGCGCAGGGGTGGTAGTCGTCGATTTCATTGATTTGCTGTTGAGGCTCGCGCTGCAGCAGCAGCAGCAGGTGCTTAACTGTCTGTACACCGCAACGGAATCTGTGCTGTAGCTACCCCTTACCTGCCCCTGCTGCTGCTGCTGCTACCGCTGCTGCTGCTGCTGCTGCTGCAAGTGTTGGTGTGTCTCTGCGCCGTTTGTTTGTTTGCCTCAGAGAGACCCCAAACAAGCGACAGGATCTCCTCTGACGCATCCTTATCACGAGCAGCAGCAGCAGCAGCAGCAGCAAGATGCTGTTAAGGATCTGGGTGCTTTAATAGACACGGGGCAATGGGGCCTCGTTCCCAGCTCCCTTGCGCTGCAGCAAGTGCAGCAGATGACTGCTAAGGGCACCAGAAGGGCCCAACTGCATGCAGCGCCTCCTCAGTGATGCAGGGCAGCAGCAGAAGTAGCAGCAGCAGCAGCAGTAGCAGCAGCAGCAGTAGCAGCAGCAGCAACAGTAGCAGCAGTACCAGTAGCAGCAGAGGTAGCAGCACTTGCACAGCAGCAGCAACTGATGCTGCTGCAGGCCTGCTGCAGCTGCAGCAACGGCAGCAACAACCGCTGCCGCAGGACTGTTGCAGCTGCAGCAACGCAGCGGCAGCGCCTGCAGAGAAACAGAGAGAGCTCGCTCCCTGGCCAGAAGCAGCTGCAGCAGCAACAGCAGCGGCTGCACAGGCAACACTAGCACTAGCAAGCAACAGCAGCAGCAGCAGCAGCAGCAGCAAGAGCAGCAGCAGCACACTCTGGTTAGACATGAATAAAGGGAGATGATGTGGCTTTTTCTGCAGCAGCAATTCGCTGAATTGTTTTAATTGTTTAAGGAATGTCTGCTGGGAAGCAGCAACAGCTCGGGCGCTATTGCTGCCGCAGTTGCTGCAGCAGCAGCAGCAGCAGCGACTGCTGCTGCTGTTGCTGCTGCAATGGAGCAATAAGTTTTCTCCATCGCAGGCTCTAAGAATATTAAATTTAATAAAACAAACTTAAAAAGTTCTCAAATAATAAATTTTTATTTTTGTTTTATAGCAGCAGCATTCAGAGCCCCACGGCGCTGCGCTGTACATACACCTGGGAGCTTAGCTGCTTAGAGTGTATATCTTAAATCGGAGATATTTTTCTTCTCTTTGTTATATAAATTGTATTATTTAATCTTCACTTTATATTTACCCCTTAATAACAAAGAGAAACGGCTCAAACCCTCCCCTTAACCCCCAAACTCAGCAGCAACAACAGCAGCAGCAGCAACAGCATCAGCAGCAGCAGCAGGCATGTTCTAGTATAAAGCTATGGGGTCTTTGGAGGCTTTAATTTCCCTTAACTTTACAGATGAAGATATAGACCCTCCTAGCGCCTCCTTAGGCCTCCTAGAGACCTCAACATATCAAAACAGAGAAGCAGCAACAGCAGCAGATGATTTGACGGGGGCCCCCTGGGGGCCCCCAGGGGGGCCCCCTGCTTGGGCTGTGAGTGCTGAAAGAATATCTCCAAAGACACAGCTGGATTTTCCTGTGCCGAAGAATAAGATCAGGAATAGCCCTGCAGCAGCAGCAACAGCAACAACAGCAGGAGCAGCAGCAGCAGGAGTTGAAGCAGCAAAAGCAACAGAAGAAGAAGCAGCAGCAGCAGCAGATGCCGCAACAGCAGGGAAGAAGTCCGAGGAGCAGCAGAAGCGGGGAGGATCTGCTTCAGCTGCAGCAACACCAGCAGCAGCAGCAACTCCAGCAGCAGCAACAGCAGCAGCAGCAGCAGCAGCAGCAACAACAGCAATAGGACCTGATGGGGTACCCGTGCTGAAGTATGGGGCCTTATTTCAGTTTGTAGATACAACAAAAGATGTGTGGGAGGCGGTGCGTGTTGCAGCAAAGCCGCAGGTTAAGAACGAAGATGCAGCAGCAGCAGCAGCAGCAGCAAACAGCAAACTCAGCAGCAACTTAGCACTGCTGCAGTCGCTGCCGAAGCCACAGGGGTCGTCAGCCTCAGGCTGTCTGGGGCTTTTGGGCTCTGCTTCTTCTGCTGCTGTTGCTACTGCTTCGGATGCAGCAGCAGCAGCAGCAGAACCAGAAGCAGCAACAGCCTCTCCTGCCACAGAAGCAGCAGCAGGAGATGCGGCGCTGCAGATGATGCCCCGTGTGCTGCAGAAGAAGCAGCAGCAAATCAAAAAAGAACAAACGAACACGACAGCAGCCGCAAAACCTGAGGACCCAGCTGCTGCAGCAGCAGCAGCAGCAGCTGCTGCTGCTGATGATGATGATGATGATGCTGATGGTGCAGCAGCAGGGGGCCCAGCAGCAGCAGCAGCAAACGAGGGGTTCTTGACTTCGATGTTTACTCTCTATGACTCAGACCAGGAAGATGCACCAGCAGCAGAAACTAGCAGCAGCAGCAGCAGCAGCAGCAGCAGCAGCAGCAGTGGAGATGTGCAAGAGAGTAAGACGGAGCCCGCGCCTACAGAAGCGCCTTCAGCAGCAGCAGCAGCAGCAGCAGCAGACTATGGAGCAGCAGAAGCAGCAGACTATGGAACAGCAGCAAATGAAGCAGCAGCAGCAGCAGCAACAGCAGCAGGAGCAGCTTGGACGTTGAAAGAAGAGGAGGCTGCGATAGAGGAACTAGGAATCGAGAAAACCATCATATCAGGCATCTCACAAGCTGAGGTGAGGGTTTAGGGTTTAGGGTTTAGGGTTTAGGGTTTGGGGCTTAGGGTTCTGGGTTTAGGGCTTGGGGTTTATGGCTTGGCGCCTAGGGGTTGGGGTTTAGGGTTTAGGGTTTAGGGTTTGGGGATTTAGACTTTGATATTAATGCTGCAGTTATTTCCTTGCTACTGCTACTGTTGCTGCTGCTGCTTCATTTGCTGCTGCTCTGTAGTGTGCTGCTGCTGCTTCATTTGCTGCTGCTCCATAGTCTGCTGCTGCTGCTGCTGCTGCTATTTTTGCTTTTGTTCGCGGGAAGAGTTTAGCAGTGTTGCAAGAACCAGGGTTTAGGGTTTAGGGTTTAGATTTGAGGGTTTAGGGTGTGGCTAGAGGGTTTAGGGTTTAGGGTTTGGATATGAGGGTTTAGGGTTTAGGGTGTGAGGGTTTGTGTGTTTGTTCGCAGCTGCGGGATTTGCGCCGCATGGGTGCGACTTCTGTTAGTGGGGCTACGCTGCAGAACCCTGACTGGTAAACCCTAAACCCTAAACCCTAAACCCTAAACCCTAGGGGGGAAAGCACAGGTTATGCGTAGAGGGCTTTAAACCCCAGTTTGAATTTATATTTATTATACTGTATTCGTACGAGAAGCTATTTTTTTTTTCTGGCCTTCGAGGGTTTAGGGTTTAGGGTTTAGGGTTTAGGGTTTTGGGGTGTATCTACAGGCAGTTAACATCGCAAACAGGGCCTCAAAAGAAGGGCAAGCTGCGTCTGGCTACAAAGGTTTGGAACGCAAAAGAAGGGGTTGTGACGGAGACCCTCGAACCCAAAGTTATGCAAAAAAGAAAACACCAGGTCCGCCAGGGTTTAGGGTTTAGGGTTTAGGGTTTAGGGTTTAGGGTTTAGGGTTTAGGGTTTAGGGTTTGAGTTTAGGGTTTAGGGTTTAGGGTTTAGGGTTTAGGGTTTAGGGTTTAGGGTTTAGGGTTTGGGGTATAGGGTTTAGGGTTTGGGGTATAGGGGATACGAAGCGGGTTGTGTAGAGGGCTGCTGAGGGTTTTGTGTGGGGTGGGTGGGCGTGGGGATTCGAGGGTTTAGGGTTTAGGGTTTAGAGTTTATATAGGGTTTAGGGTTTATCAAGGGTTTGGTGTATAGGGTTTAGAGTTTACGGATGGGGTTTAGCAGAGGGGTGAGGGTTTTATGTGGGATGAGTGGGCGTGGGGATTCGAGGGTTTAGGGTTTAGGGTTTAGGGTTGAGGGTTTGCGCAGATAAACTGGCTGGCTGCGGAAGCGCACGACAAGGAACTCGAAATGTTAGAGATGACAGCGAGGACGAGACAATCAAAATATCAAACAGCTATGAAATATGGGTGGTGATGTTGTGGTTTAGGGTTTAGGGTTTAGGGTTTACGGTGGTGTGCGATGTGCATGCATGCGTGTTATATACCCTAGCTAGCTGTCCTCCTCTTGCTGCTGCTGTTGCTGCTGCTGCTTGTGCTGCTGCTGCTGCTGCTGCTGCTTTGGGAGTCCTTTTAAACAATTAAATTAATTTCTTTCTTTAAGTTAAAACAAACTAAAACACAAACCGCAGCTTCGATTGGGGTGTACGTACACCGCGGCATACTCCGCCCCACAACTTTCTCTTAAATCTTTTTTTCGCTATGTACACTCGAATAAACAAAACACCCAAACTCTCTCACTGTCTGCCTCAATGCTACCAGCTGCTGCAGCCGCTGCTGCTGCTGCTGCCTTTACTGCTGCTGCTGCTGCTGCTGCTTTTACTGCTGCTGCAGCAGCTGCAGCTGTGGCTGCTGTTGCTGCTTTTATTGCTGCTGCTGTTGCTACGGTAAGAAGTTTAGATAGCCTAATAATAAACAAGTGGGATCCGATCCCCACATTATCTTAACTAGCCTATTCAACATGGTGGGGTCCGAGCCCTACACTATCTTAATTAGCCTATTAATAATAAACAAGTGGGATCCGATCCCCGCTCTGCATGCTGCATACGTTGTGCAGATACACCTGAGGTGCATATACACTCCAATTCGTTTAAACAGCCAAAACGTAGGCGCTGTGGGGCTGCAATAATATCGCCTCCCTTAAGCACCACATCTCAGGCAGCATCAGCAGCAGCAGCAGCAGCAGCTGCTGCTGCTGCTGCTGCTACTGCTGCTGCTACTGATGCTGATGCCTGGCGGAGAAGCAGCTGTTAGTCTGCTGCGGCGCTGCTCAATACGCAAACGCCACTACGGGGGTCGCTGCATTGCTGCTGCTGTTGCAGCTGCTGCTGCAGCTGTTGCTGCAGCTGCTGCAACATTGACAGTTACTATTGCGTCTGTTGGAGCATTAGTTACAGCATTCGTTGCTGCTTCTGCTGCTGCTAGTTCTGTTAACTGCTGCTGCTGCTGTCATAGCTGCTTCTGCTGCTGCTGCAGCCATGCCGTTTTTGCTTCTGCTTCTGCTTCTGCTGCTGCTTCTGCTGCTGCTGCTGCTGCTGCTGCTGCAGTTGCTGCAGTTGTTTATGTTGTACTTTGTGCGTATAGAGCAAGCACCTTAAGACAAGTTATAAACCTGTCTCTTGCTTCTTTGCCTCCTTCTTCTATTAAGAATAGACGGTTAAGCGGTGCAGCGGCTCCGTCTTGATATTCAATCATTAAAACACAATCTTGCGATGAGCTGTCTAGACACTTCAAAGAAGGGTTTTCACACAAACTCGCGGTTGAAGCATTACTCTGCAAGGCTGGCAGACTATACACCTCCCGAAGCTGCATATACACCCCAACAACTCGCAAAAATCACATCATCCACCTGCATATACACCCCAATATCTTTCATACAACAGCTGCATATACACCCCAATATACCCTAAGGGAACTGCACATACACCCCAATATCTTTTATACATACAGCTGCATATACACTCCAACCTCATTAAAGACAGCTGCATATACACCCCAATATTATGCAGCTGCTGGAAGCCTCATCAAAGCGAAATAACAAATACAAAACCCTAAACCCTATCCTCCAAACCCTAAACCCTAAACCCTAAACCCTAAACCCTAAAATACAAAACCCTAAACCCTATCCTCCAAACCCTAAACCCTAAACCCTAAACCCTAAACCCTAAACCCTATCCCCGAAACCGTAACCGGTAAACCCGTAAACCGTAAACCGTAAACCCTAAACCCTAGACCGTTGAGCGTACGGATTTGAGAGGAAATGAGTGCTGAATCCCGCTAGCGAAATGAAGAGAGAAGTCTGACAGGGTTTTATTTAAGAAATATCTGCACGAGATCTTCTTGTTGGCCGACACATCCAGAAAAACGCAAGGGGGTCCCGAGACAGCAGACTTCGCGAATAACTTCACCTAAAACATATATAAATATTTATATATTTATATATTTATATATCTAATATATATATAAATAAAGATATATATATTTATATATTTATATATCTAAAATATATATAAATAAAGATATATATATATATATATATGTGTGTGTGTGTGTGTGTGTGTAGATTCATGCAGACAGATTTAGATATATATATATATACTGCTTATCCTTTACTCTATTTATACATATATATATATATATGTGTATATAAAATATAAATAAAATAAATATATATATATATATATATATGTATTATATGTTTGATATAAACAGATACAGAAAGAAAGGAGACAGAAAATAAACGGGGACAGCAAAAAGAGAGAATAAAGAAAGAGACAACAAAGAGAGCAGATAATGCATCCACCCCAAACCCTAAACCCTAAACCCTAAACCCTAAACCCTCGGTAATAAGTGAAGGTGCAGAGACACACGAGGGCCTGAAGGCGTTCTTTCTCTTTTTGTTTTTGTTCAGCGGTTAGCGGCTGCTCCTCTCCAACTTCTTGTGCCCCCTCTAAAGAAGGCTGCACATACACCCCAAACCCTAAACCCTAAACCCTAAACCCTAAACCCTTTACGATAGGCCCTAAACCCTATACGATAGGCCCTAAAGCCTTTGCGGCCCCAATGCCCAAACCCTGAACAACAATCCCCCAAACGCTGGCCCTACACCTAAACCCTAAACCCTAAACCATAAACCCTAAACCCTAAACCCTAAACCCTAAACCCCGAGCATCCAGCCTCATAATGCGCGTCCTATAAGAGGAGACAGAGAGAGACAAAGCGGGATAAGGAGAGACAGAGAAGAGCAAAGAGACAGACAATTTAAATATAAAAGGAGACAGACAGAGCATAGAAAAGTTAAACAAAAAACAAATAATGCATGCAGCCCCACCCCAAACTGCGTCTGCGTCTCCTCCTCTGCTGCTGGGTCGCAGCTGCAGCACGAAAAGAGTGCCATTTCGATTGCTGCTGCTGTTGCTGCTGCTGTTGTTGCTGCTGCTGCTGTTGCTGCTGCTGCTGCTGCTGCTGTTGTTGTTGCTCTTGCTGCTGATGTTACTGCGCCGCTGTTGCTGCTGATGTTTCTGCTGCTGCTGTTGTTGCTGCTGCTCCTGCTGCTGTTGCTGCTGCTGTGAGAAGACTATATCCAGGAAGAAGATGCCTCTGCTGCTGCACTGAGTCCCCCCAGCTGCATGAGAGGGGCCCTTAAGATATGCTGCAGCACCCTCTAAGAGCTCCTACAACAGCAGCAGCTGCAGCAGCAGCAGCAGCAGCAGCAGCAGAAGCAGCAGACCGTTGCTTCTTACGCAGCAGCGCACGAGATATAAGAAGAAATCATACGGGCAGCTACGAAGAAGAAAGTAGCAATATGAAGCGAGTAAACCCCAATATATAAACCCCAAGGGTTTAGGGTTTAGGGTTTAGGGTTTAGGGTTTAGGGTTTAGGGTTTAGGGTCGCCAAGCCCGGCGAGAGAGAGCCCTTAGAAGCGCTCTTGCTCTTAGGGTGTCTGTACAGCTTCCAGCAGTAAAATAAAAAATAAAAAATAATTTTAATTTAATAAACACAAAATAAAATTAAGAAGGCAGAGAAGAAAGCTAAGAAGATCAGGCTTTCTTCTTTCAGCCCCAAGCAGCAGCAGCAGCAGCAGCCGCTGCTGCTGCTGCTGCTGCTGCTGCTGCTGCTGCTGCTGCTTGTATTTTGATTAATAATAGATGCCCCTACAACTGTTGCTGCTGCAGAGGAGACGATAAATTATTTATGAGAGGCCCCCCTAAGGGCAGACAAAGACAGAAAAACCTCAAAACAATGCAGCAGAAGGGTCGCCTATATAACCAGTATACAGCAGCAGCAGCAGAAGCAGCAGCAGCAGCAGTAGCAGCAGCAACAGCAGCAACAGCAGCAGCGGCAGAAACGGGCTGGGCCCGCAGCAGCATCAGCACCAACAGCAGCAGCAGCAGGAGACACAATACAGTAGCGACAGCAGCTGCAGCAGCAGCAGCAGCATGATTAGCGGGGGTGTATAGTTTTGCAGCAGCAGCAGCAGCAGCAGCAGCAGCAGCAGCAGCAGCATAGTTTACTCTACCCTCTGACTCTCGCGCAGCAGGGCATTAGGAGTAATTTCTTTAGATAGGCAGCACCGTAATAATAATAAAAATAAAAAAATAATAATATAATGCGTAGTAATAAATATAATAAATAATATAATATATAATAATAAATATAATAACAATATAAAAACAAAGAGAACATCAGCTCGTATATATTATTAATGAGAATTTAATATAAATATAAATAAGAGAAGTCTGTCAATAATATAATATAAATATAAATATAAATAAGAGAAGTCTGTCAACAATATAATATAAATATAAATAAGAGAAGTCTGTCAATAATATAAATAAAATAGAGGGCGACGCTTTACTCTCTTTATCTCTGTTAAAAAAGAGAAAGGAGACAGCTGCTTCTGTCTCCTCTTTGTTTGCTTTTATCTAATATATATATATATATATATATATATATATATTATATATATACATATATATGCAGCAGCAGCTGCTGC